GAGCAGAGTAGCAGCATGGGGGAGATGGCCAAGATAATAATGGTGTATGGCTTAGATACACACAGCTTCAGCTTCAGAGCCGTTGCTTCTAGGTGATATTTTTGCAAAAAACAAACAAAAAGCCCCAAACACACACACACAAAGCCCCAAACTAAAACCAAAAAAATTGTTCTACTTCATAAAAATTGACAATGATGTCTTTTAAGGGAAAAGAGAACTACTTTTGAAAAAGCATCTTAATTCATAACACCAGTCCAAATGCATTGCTTTGCAAAGCAATGTAGAAAAGCTTTCCATCATATCTTGGCTTTCCCCTCTTACAGTGGCTGATCCCTTATACCTTAGAAATAACACCCCTCTCCCCGCGCCATCTTGTGCTTTAATCATTGTGTTAGTTGGCTTTTTTATCCCTGTAATCAAATAGCTGATGAGAACAATTTAGAGTAGGAAAAGTTTATTTTGGGCTCATGGTTACAGAGGATCAGTCCATGGTCAGCAGATTTCATGGCTATGAGCCCCCAGTGAGGCAGAGCAACATGGCAGATGGGTGTGCTGGAGGAATATTGCTGAGCTCATGGCAGTAGAAAGCAGGGAGAGAAAGCACAAGGAACCAGGGACAAAACATAATCCCCAAAGGCACGCCCCCAGTGACCTACTTCTCCAGCCACACTCCACCTGCCTGTAGTTAACCACCCAGTAATCCCAATTATCAATCCAGTGGATGGATTAACCCAATGATTAGATCACAGCTCAATCGAATCATTTCTCTGAACATTCTTGCATTAACTAACACATGAGCTTTTCAAGGGAACCCTGGAACCAAAAAAACCAACCCCAAAAAAGAACAACCAAACCCCAACTTTAATCCTAAAAACGGAAGGTAAGCCCCCCCGAATTGGCCCACCCGCCCCCCAGGGGGCAAGGCCAAGAACCCCCGCCCCAAGAACCCGCCCTGGCCCTCCCCGGGGTAAAACCTAAGAATGAACGGCAAGAAGAAGAACAACCGCCCTCCCCAAAAAAGGCCAACGGAAGGGGCCAAAATTCAAAAAAGGGGAAACAACCGTTAAACCCAATAAAACCCCGGGGTTGAAGGTTCCGCCCCCGGAATTTGGGCAAAGCAACTCAAGGGAAGGCCTGGTAAAAAAAGCCCAACTAAGGGGCCGCAAGGGAAGGCAAAATAAAAAAAAGGTAAGTCAAAAAAAACAACGAAGAACCAAGAAAAAAAAAAGGCCCCTGGGAGCAACGGGAAAGAAACAAGAAAAAAAAGAAGTTCTCTTTCTCAAGAGCTTCCATTCTGTATTCATTGACAGTGCCCACCAAATAGTTACTTGCCAACTGACTGGTAGCTCATCGCAGTCCTTGAAATGGAGGAAGTTTATATAGAGTGTTAGTTTCAATGATCTTAAAATAGGTTATGCACTCAACTTTACCAGCATGGCTGGGGGTGAACCAGTGCTTAGGTAGTTGTCTCATAAGACTAGGTTCTCTTCTGCTTTGATGATTCTCTCATTTGAGAAAGAACTGTTCATGAGAAGTTTCCAATAAGTCAATACATGTGGTTTCTTTGTCCACCACAGGTTCAGTGGAAAATTCTCTATGGAGAAGGTGCTTTGAGCAATGAAAAAAGAATCCTCTTCAGATGGGTTAGAAAGCACGCCAGAAGGGAGCAAACCTTACCCCAATCTACCCAGCAACCATCACGCATCTTTCATAAAACTATATCCTTATATCTTGGAATCCAAAATATATCTAATTCAAATGCTACAAAAAGGATCGATGAGAAAGGAATTAAATTGTAATTAAGTCTTTTTAAAAGTTTGCTCTTCAGGACACTATGCCATATTCTTTAGTGAGGTAATAATACCTTTAGTTTTATTAACAAAACATTCTGGTTTTGCTCTTTAAGAAACAACCTCTGTCAGTTCCTCAGGCCCGAAGAAGCCCTGGCTGGTTGGGATGAGCAACAGCTACACGAGGGGCCTCTCTCACTTTATACCTGTGCATCCTGAGAGCAGGGAAGATTGTCAGAAAAATAAACAGCACCTTACCAGATGAGCTTAAGGCATGCTCTTATAAAGCACCATTTCTACTTAATGTTGGTAATGGTGACAAAGAGGTTAACATCAGAGCAACTGGAAAATGCAGCTTAAGCCACAGCACACATTCCAAACACAGTTATTTCAAAGGTAATGGCATCTACTTCATCATTCCAAATCAAATTTCCCAAAAGTAATTCTCATAGTTCCCTAATAGATCTTTATTCCAAGCAAGCTCACTTTTCTACTTAGCTCTGAAGCAGAATTTATAACGCTTTGTAGGGTACGTCATATGAGCAATTTCAATGTGTTTTAGTGGGAGTGATATGTAATCTCCTGAAAATTCACCCCTTAAATAAGTCCTAATGGCTCAGAGAACAGCAGTAGCTTAAGTGGATCTATTTAAAAAGGCTGAGTGGGTCAGTGATGGGGATGGAGATACCATTTCAACTCTCCCTTCAGTTACTGATCAAAATACATTGACAGTCCAGTTTGCCCGTTTAAACACTCACTCTCTCTCTCTCTCACACACACACACACACACCCTTCCATGCCATTGCTGATGGCAGCGACACTTGCTTTGTTCATTGATCTGAATCACAGATTTTCTGACAAAGGAAAGGTGCTGGACCATTTTCATTGCCTCCTTTAGAATCAGAATTTTATGCAGAGCACGGAGAATCTGTAATTCCTCTCCCAGAGAAATTTATTAGTGCAGAGCATATGGAGACATTTCTCTGTCAATAACCACAAAAGGGAGACCCATATGCAATTTTCATGGTGAAATGTGATAAGTTAAATTCACTGTTCTTAGACTTAACTTTCAGCAGAGGGATGACCCCTTTCAATATTTATTAAATGATTTTTATGGGAGCTCAGAACGATGCCATGGTTGAATCTCACTTAGCTCTAGCCCTTAGTTTCGAGATCTTGGGCAACTGGTATATTTTTGTCAGGGACCAAGTCTTCTCAGGTGTGAGGTGAAAGGGCTGATGACATTGAGCTAAAGGTCTTTCCAAGTATAGGGGGCTGGGAGTTGTGATTTAGAAAACTGGTGATCACAGCATCTGGAAGTCAAAGGACTGGAGCCTATGGAATGGTATTTTGATCTTGAGGGGAAAGAAAAACATTCTCACAAAAATAGTCAAAAAAACCAAACTTTTCCCATCATTTAGGGGAAAGTAAAAAAGAGAGAGAAAAGTAGTCACAGTGTGTGGCCAGTGGGAAGATGCCGAGAGAGCGAGCGAGACGGGATGTGCAGGCTGATTTACTCTCTCCCGTTCCTTCTCAAAGTCTGAGGCTGTGGGCACACAGATGTGCCAACTGTCCTGCGTGCCCATCTGCTTGGCAGGTCGGTCAGGCTATAGGTAGCATTTCAGACATGCTTTCTAAGCCTTTTGAGAATTCAAATGTACAGAGTCATTTCTATTTTTGCAGTTACAATAAACTGGAGAGCCGTCGAACACTGAATGAAAGTGTTCATTGGATAAGAAAACATCTTACTTCCAGACCTTAGATTGCATTGTGATTGAACAGGAGTCTGGAAAGACAGGCTTAAAATTCACAATCACTCGCTGCTCTAAATGCAGCAAGGACGGGGCTGGACTGCACACTGGCAGAAAGGAATCCTTATATTAAACTCAACATTAAACAAGTCAACTGAGGCACTTAATAGGCAGGTTTTTTTCCTACACCTGTGGTTAAATATTCTAATATTTTGATGTTTGTCAACAGCACCCTTTTTCAGGTGTGACTCTTCCTCGATTTTTCTTTCTGTTTATTTCAGAGTTGACATTTTACAAGTTATTTAGGAACTGTTGAACCATGAAACTATTTTTCATTGTCAAAAACACTGAATGGCGAAATGATGACTAGCTTTCACAGTTGCCTCTTTATTTTATAATCTAGTTGAGCTGCTAAATTTGGATGTGAAGTAAGAGACAGTCTCTTCAGGGAAATAAGTTCTTTCTCCCACTGCCCACAGGTTTATGAATGTTTGAATGTAAATATATGAATATATGAATGATTTAAGAACATAAACATATCACCGCTTCTTGTAATCATGTGCATTTTGCTTGAACCACAATGTGGGTTTGGAATGGGTTTGTGAATAGAGCTTGTTTTCATGTAAATGGGATCAAGCAGTACCACTGGTTAGCTATTCAGGGAATCAGACAATGCCACCCTTGCTGGAAGTGCTTCAATAAGAATTTAATCCATGTACCTAATATCTGAACACCAACTCTTGCTTCATATTCCTGTGGCCTAATTCAGATCTCATTGACTGACAATGACTAAGGGATGGTGTGAGACTTACCGTGATCTTTTTATGTGTGGCACCTCTTTCTGGCACTGAGCATTTCAGGTTTCATCTTGGAGGTAGTGTCTAAAGAGAGCTTTCTTCCCCCCCTCTGTGACATTCTAAAATAATGCAGATGGCCAGTCTGCCCCTAGAAGCAGCATCCATGCAATAACTGTAATAGGACATAAAGAACTCATGGAGCCCTAAGCTTCACCACTATGTGTACAACGTGAGCATTATAAACATCACTGTACTTTCTAAGTTTCTAAGCAGCTTACCCATCTCTGTGAATATGAAGAGAGAGACCATTACCAAAGCATTTCTTTCGGAAATAATATCAGCATCGTAGTGAGAGTAGCTTAATGTTTCACATTTACAAATGGGAAATTACAAACAGGCTGACATTCTGGCACTTACAACACCAGGAAAAAAAAAAAAACTCAACAATTCATGCATAGAAAAGCCATTTATAAAATGAAGCTTAGTGTATCTAGTTCATTTGAATCCATAAATTCTCACACAGCTACCAGATGTGTGTGTACGTGTGTGCATATAATATTGCATTATGTTATATATTTATAATGAAAGCCTTAAACTGAATATGCATTATGTATATGAGTTGTATGTGACCCTGTTGTCAGCAAGGAAAAAAGACTATTTTT